AAAAAAAAAAAAAAAAAAAAAAAAAAAAAAAAATTCAGAAAGAGCACTCATTCATGTATTTCATGACCAGACAGCTGGCATCACTTTTAGCAGTGTGGAACTGGACATAGAGATTCTTGAGTATGCGATTTATTGAGAAAATGCTCTCAGGAGGAGACCCACGTCAGGAAGGGAGGCAAACAGGGAAGAAGATCCTCTGAAATGCACCTCAGTGTCCGGCCTTCACTCATCCCACAGCAAACTGCAGCATGAAGCTGCCCAGCCAGGAGCCAAGCACCTGAGAGTTCCTCCTCTGGCTCTGCCTCATCGGGCCTGGAACTTCCCCTCTGCGGAATAACCTGTCAGACATCTGGTGTAGCTCAGCCCCTGCCAGGCAGCCCCGTAGTGAGGGCCCTCTGTAGTTAGCACCCAGGGCAGCAGCATGGGCTTAGCGCAGGGAGTGCACCTCCTCCTGCAGGCGCCATGCCTCAGGGGTTGCTTGGACCAATTTCCTGGCTAAATGCAAGGAGTGGACCTGAGTATTTTTGTTCTTTCATCCCTCCTCGTAGGCCCTAAACATAGGTGCTACATGCAGCAATAACCTTTGAAGTAAATGCATTTGTGCCTACTGTTAGGCGTGATACTCTGACTGCACAAAACTTCTGCATAAGTGCATTTATTCTATACTACAAAATATTATTTATATAAATTTCCATTCTAAATTTTACCATATAGGGTGCTGTACCTACTGGCCCTATGGTTTATAATGCCTGCTGTATAAATAAAAGCCTGGAAAATTTGACCCCTATGTTAAATTGCTTTCCATTTACTTCATTTCATTTTCTCTCATGTTTAATAAACTCAACACTTTGGATCAAGTATTTCTAGAATTCTATACAAGAACAAGGAAATAATTCCAGGTGGGCTCAGAAATGTGTTAACATGGGGCTCTTTCAAGATGTTGAAAAGATTGAAGCATTGCCCATATCAAGAAATTGAGGGTTGGGTCAATAAATCATAGTAGAGTTCTATGATAAAAGGCCCCAAGTTATTAAAACTCGCATCATAGAAAATCTTTAATACATGGAAAATATTTTCATCAAGTGAAAATAAAAGGTTGAAACAGACTGTGAATATTATCTCATCTTATGAAAATTAATCACTGTGCATAAAGTGACTAGCAAGGTATACATCTCCCATAGTAACAGCAGTATCTCTCAGTGACTTGAGTGTTTGAAATATGGAAGATGATTTCACAGTTATCTTTTCTCAGTTTCAGTTTTCACATTTCTTATAAGAAGAAGCCTGGGTTACTTTTAGAATAAATAGAAGGTGATTTAATAAACATCACTCACTTTAATGGGTTTGTTCTTAGGCATAGTTATCCAAACAATTTTAAAGGTTTTTTTCAATACATGCCATTTAAAATAATATGCAAATTACTCTGGGACCCTTTGAATATGAATAGTAAACATTTTAGGGCCCATATAATTGTGTTAGGTACTTGATGTAAGGAATCACAAATGGGTTATGAGAATCTTTTGCTTTAAATAAAAAAACAAAGGAAAATACTAAGTGACTTGATGACTGGTTTTTTTTTTTTTTTTTTGGTTTTTCTCCGGTACCGGGAACCGAACTCACGACCTTGCGCTTGCCAGGCAGGCGCTTTTGCCGCTGAGCTAAATCCCCAGCCCCCGATGATGACTGTTTTTTTTCAGCGCCAGGATCTCTTTTAATCAGAGTGAAATCATCTAGAAACACTCAAAGGAGCAGATGTGCACTGCTAAACGTGACCACAAGATATGGTGCCTCAGAATACGAAAAGAAATAGAAATAGGAAAAATGGGGTCAACCAGTTAGACATTTGGTGACGTGACACTGATCTCCACGAGTGTTGCCCCATTGGGCTAGTTCTTCTTCTGTAGTATGTTGCTTGTGATAAGTCAGCAAATAGCTATGGAAGTCAAGCATAATGCCATGCATCAGATTGGAACACCCTCCTACCTCTTTCTTTACTTCTTCTTCATCTTCCAGGGTCAAAGCAGCCAGCTGCTTAGCTCTCTGCTCCATCAGATTCACATACCGAATTGGGTTTGATAAAGCTTCAATCACATCTAAGTAAGGAAGAGACATTTTGAGCAAAGGTTCTGGAGGTACTGATTATCCATCATCCATTGAACCATCCATCTAACCATTCATTCATTCATTCGTCATCAGCCCACTCACTCATTCTTTCATTCACTTGGCATTCAATTCTCACTCTTCTTTCTACCCATATAACTATGCACGCATCTATGCAACATTCTGGAAACAGACGAGTCAGGACTTTGCTGAAATGTCAAGAACTCAGAAAGGAGGTTAGTTCTGAGCAGGAAACTGGACAGGGTAACTCAGGATGCTTCAAAACTCCAGATTCTATAGCTGCTTCTTGGAGTTCCCATCCACCCCAGCAATGACCGCTCCCCCTACCATCACCCCGCCTACTTTTCTTATTTGGCCCAAATAGTGTTCAATGAATAAAGATATTTTACATTAAAAAGCTTGCTTTTGTGGCTGTTGGAATAAGTGGAAGATTTGGCAATGTAGACTTCACTTGCATGGCAGTGGCTGAGTGAGTTGTGTTTGCTATCTTGGAGTGAGGCATGTGCTCCAACTCTGACAAGGTCCCCACCACCTCCTAGTGTCTTTTCCTAAGCCACTTGGTATTACAAGCATTTAAATTTAGAAATCCTTGTAGATCCCAGCACAACTTAATTCCTCCTAGTTTATGACTTTATGTATGAAAAGGGTCAGAGTTCCAACACCAGTTGAAGACAAATCTCTGCGTAGGTATAGAGAGGCAGCAGTAGTAGCAGGTAGCACTGGAGAGGAAGTGCTAAGTCTATGGGAATGAGTACCAGGATTAAATATCCTCAAAGCAGAGGTATTAGGACTTACATTTAAATAAATTAAAAAGTACGCACAAAGGCATAAGGAATTTATCTTTAAACATACAAAATTAAAGGTGATTTTAATGCTACTATCTCTCTTCCCTTTGTTTGGTCCCGTTTTCCTTCCATTGAGCTACAAATACACAGATGAACCCAGATAGAAATGCCCTTTTGAGTTAGGATGTTTACCTGCATATGTATCTGGCACATAGTCTTTCACTTCTATGTAGACAAAGACAGCTGGCAGCATCAGCGGCTGGTTCCTCTCATTCCTCAGACAGATGTAGTGGTAGCCTGGGGGTGATAACAGTATCGTATACCACATATTCTCTTCACAAAGTTAGGTGTAACTAGGAGCATCTTGTGCGATGCAAGTGTTTATTTCAAGTGCTCTCAGATAACAAGTGGGTCACCTTTTCCTCATTTTAACACCTGGCTTTGAGTGATAAGGTAGTATTTTCTTAATCTTAATCAGGCAGGAAAACATTGTTGATTCTAATGTTTTCTTTTTTGAGAACTTGTTCGGAGGTTCCAGCAGGGGAGCTCAGCTACTTGTATACCTTTGACTGAGGAACAGTCCTCCTCTATGGGGGTGGTTGTCCTCTTGGACTGAATGCACAGCCTCTGGAGGGATGCACATGGAGCACTGAGCGGGGAAGGGGACATGTGCCTAGCCAGCCAGATCAGCCCAATCAACCCTGGCGATCAATGGAGTGACAGATGTTGCAAGCAGATCGCTCTCACATCCTAATGTTTTCTTTCTAACCATTTTTTTCCCCACAAAAAAGCAACTCAACACCGTGTTCCACAGCTTTCATGATGGTTCCAAATTTCCCCCATAGTAGAATTATACATGATGTGATCTCTTGACTTGGGGCTTGGTACAGGCTCTGCTAAAGCCAGTGAGATGCTAGTGCCGTGGCACAGGCAGTTAGTGTTGCCTTCTGTATTCCAGTGGTCATCCAAGAGAAGTCCACAATGTGGGTCCACTGGCCCTTCTGCTATACCCCAGAATGAGCACACATGGGACAGACCCGAACCTCACTAACAGTTGATGCACAGCTGTGCTGCAGAGCCCAGGTGAGGCACTCCAGACCTTGTGCTATGGTTGGGATGCAGTCTGTCTCCTTCCTCAGTGTGGTAGCATGAAAAGTGGTGGGTCCTTTAAAAGGTGGAGCCAAGAGAAAGCCCTTAGGGCATTGGTTTGAGCCCTCAGAAGGGACTGAGGAAGTTCTCCTGGATGCTGGGTGAGCTCTTGATGGAGAACTATATTAAAAGAGCAAGGCTGGGCCCATTGGGCTTGCTGGCTTCCTGTCTGGCAAGGTGATTTTTGATTGGCACACACATATTCCTGCTGTGATGTCACTCACAGTTAGGTCCTCACCACAGGCAAAAGTGACTGGTCATCAACCTGGACTTTCAGCCTCCAAAACTATGAACTCAATAAATAAAGCTCTTTTTTTAAAATAAAGTAGCTTGCCTAGGTGTACTTGTTGTAGTATTGAAAAATAGATTAATCCACATTGCTAGGCCTCAGACTGTACCAGAAACATAACTACCTGTAATGTTATTTTTGAGCTAGTTTGTTACATAAAATTATTGTGACAAGAGTTGATTAAAACACAACAGTATGTCACAAAAACATTAAACCACCAGCTTTAAGTAAATAATCTGATCCAACAATTATCTTGCATGCCTATATCTGGTTATATGTGAAACCATTTTGAAGGTGACATCATGTAATTTAACAACCATTGTTAATATCTTATCACCACGTTTTGAAATTCTGTATCATTTTTATTGCTCTCTATGCTGTTTTGTTTGTGTATTTGTTTTTGGTTATTTTTTTTTTTTAAATGAAAAACAGTTTATATGTATATATAAGGAGAGCTGGAATAGGTGTTCTGCTGATGTCTGTGGTTTATTGAAAGGGACAGTCAATGCTTAAAATTTTTTTTTTCTTGACCAATTTTGCACACTTGAATTTGATAATTAGAATGACTGGTCTGAAAACAATATGCAGTACAAGAACCATTGTTGAACTCCTACCATCTTGTATGGTGAAGCTCTGCATCATTTCCAATGTTTTATTTATTTATTTTTTAACTTGTTACTATCTTTGATTGTTTGATCAAGTTCACATTCTTATGTCTAGTGGACTGAGCAACTTCATTTAAGATAACAGTATGTAATACAGCAACTGTTATAAATTCCATCATTTTGTTTTGAGATCATGTATCATTTCTGCTTTTTTTGTGTTGTTTTGATTTTGTCTTCATTATTGTTTTGTCCGTTTTTTGGTTTTTAAAATAAAAAAACTAAATAACCTGATAGTCCTTGCTACACAGCAAGATTACAAAGCAGCACACTGTGGCCTATGCATTCTTTAATAATCATAGAAGACAATGACAATTTTCTCTGCAATTTGATGGGGAGTTTCTTTCCACACCATCCATACCTGGTCTAATGGCTTGGACTGGCAAGATCCGGTGCCCAATGAATTTACCTCCTTCTTCATACACTGCTATCCTCAAACAGGCCAGAGAAGGAAGAACCACCTAGGGGGACATTGAAGACACACCTGGTCACAAGAGCAAGATATTCCAAGAAAGAATCAAAAGTGGATTATATCATTAGTCCTGTTCTTTCAAAGCCCAGAAGAAATTTTTAGTTAGCTAATTTAGACTAAAGTTGACCTGTTTGCTCTTTGAGTTAATTTTCAGAAGAAAAAGACATGAAATAGGGCTTTGTCTATGCTTTACTGCCTTGCTCTGGGGAGGGATTTGTACAAAACGTAGAACACTTTCAGTACGTGAGTGAGAACGCTCTGTGTTTAAACACAGTACTTCTCATTACTTATTTAGTTGTATGTTTTCAAGATACAACTGCTTGTCACTTATATAATTAACCAAGAAGCACTTACTTATTTTCTCTTCCTCAGTGTAAAACACCCGGAAAACACAGTCACATTTTTACATCAAGATCATGAGACCCACCTTTTTGAACACAATAGGCTCCTCTTCCCAGATAGGATTTACAGCATTTCCTTGGGATGTCTTGGTCTTAAATGCCTTCCTCCTTGTGTCCACAGGCAAACCAAACATATCCACTTCCACATAGGTTCCAACTTTCTTATCAGAAAGAAACTGACCTGAAATAATCTAGAAAACAATAACAAGGAAGTCTTGGTAAATGAGTAACATAGACTTAGGCTAAAGAGGTACAAATGCTGCTGGTAAGTGTCAGAAGCAAAGCAAAAAGGGAAGTAAGAGTATAAATATGATCTATTCTTCACCTAAGGAGTTAATAGAGAAATAGTAAAAAGTTAGTAACCAATTAGTAAAACAGAAGTATAGGAGGAATAAATAAACCCACTGAAACCATTATGATAATCTCTAACCTCACCCAGGTAGCCATCTATAAAACTGGGTCATTTTATCTACTTATGGAATTAATCAATATTATAGAGTTGACAGAATTTAAGGCTACATGTCTTAATGTTAATTTAAGGTAAAGTCTTCCACATATGTCTCTGTTTGCTAACCCAATTGTCAGTTTATTTGCAATTCCGAGGGGTCTGCCACTGGTGATAAGGCTCATGGAGATAAATGATGTGTCTCTCTGCTTAATACCAGAAAGACAAGCATGTGGAAGCAGGAGCTGGTGGCCCAAACCCAGTGAACCTGGATTATGTGGTTGCCGCACAGTTACCTGGTGGTCAAGAGCTTTCTGAGCTCAAGTCCATGAAAGGAGACAGAATTTCTGAGATTATGGCTGGGCTGAGAGTCAGACATGCTGGTGGAATTAGCACAGCCATCGAAGACTGTATGAAGTGAAAGTTTCCTATGTACTGAGAAGCCAAAAAATTATGAACAAGTTAGACTCATATAGAAGACTCTTTAAACCTGTCTTGGGAAAATTCATTTCCCCCCAGATGTTCTTCAGGGCTTGAGCACATGAGACCTGCTAGCAAAAAATCTCTTTGTTTAACTAAAGGTTCTACATGAAAATCTGTTCAGTACTTTGAACATGTTTGAAACTTGCTGAAAGAGGAATCCAGATGCACCAGCATTTGGATGATTATGACACTAAATCCTAATGTCCCCATCAGGAAAATAGGATGGAGGACCACAGTGTGAATTCCTAAGTCCATTCTGGAACTACAATGTCTATGCCTTAAAATCATAACAAAAACACAACTGACAGATTTGAGCCGCATCCTGGATGATCAAGTAGTAATGACCAAGGCAGGAAGAACCCACTGCCAAGTGTCTGATCCATTTGTGGGCAGGTCTAGAACAAATCCTATGTTCTGGGAAGAAGCAGGAAGTTACACTTTCTGGGCCTCAACAAAATTTCCCCTCCACCTAGACTTACTTTCCTATCTCTGTGATTGTCTTATAATTGCGTGCACTGATACAGATTTCTCTAAGTAAAATAAACAAGAAAACATGTACAAAATTAGATGAATCTGTAAACAAGGCAAATGTGTTACTAGTTTGATTCAGCTAGAACAATGGGCAAGGATTCTAAAAGTAGCAGGGCATCACTACTGGATACTTAGGAGTTTATCTCAATCATTCTTGACAGGAATTAAACATCCTTTACTGAAAGTATTTTCCTAAAATAAATATCATTGTGAAACTCTAATTCTACCAGTTTTACTTCTTATATATATGGTTTGAAATAACTTCAAAGGATATCATTGTTAAGATACTCCATTAAAATTTTATTTTTTAATCCTTGCCATAAAGTAACATAGTTTTTGGACAAAAAGAGTCTTGATTATTTAGCACAGATAGAAATTAGTAAAACTTTAACAGGGCCCCAGTTTTTTAAATGCCTCAGTTAAAGGCACATTGCATTTACATGGAATAAAAAAATTTCTTTCTTCTACAGTTAATTCAGTTAAATACGAGATAAATGACACTTTTAAAAAGTAAATGAAATTTTAGCCACAACAACCGAAAAGGCTTACAGAATACGTGCAAAAAGCTTTTTATAAAAATGAATTTCCCTTTCATAGGATTAAAACTATTTCCGATAGCTAAAAAAAAATCTGCTGTAACATCTATTTCAAAGACTGAGGAAAATCATTTGGAATTAAATTTTAGAATCAGATACATATTTAATAAAGCAACTCTTTTAGATTATTAATATGACTTTTGAAATCCCTGAACACTCTGTTAGATATTTAAAAAAACATGCTATGGTTAGATATTAAAAAACCATGCTATGGTAACTTGAAAGCTTTTCTTCAATATTTAATAACTTATCGAGTGAGGTTTTTTTCCTCTAATTTTACTTAGAACGCGTGGAAACCAGTGAGGTGTGGGGGTTGGGGCAAGTCAGATCTTTCCAAAATGGTCACCAATTTTGATGTGAAATTCATGGTGGGATGTTTACAACAAAATGGAAGACTGACTGGGGGGTCATCTCACCAATTCATTTGATTTGTTATGTTAGGTTTTTTTTGGTTTTGTTTTGTTTGTTTTGGGTATACGGAGATCGAACTCAGGACCTTGTGCTTGCCAGGCAGGCGCTTGTGCCTCTGAGCTATATCCGTAGCCCTCATTTGATTTCTTTAGCATAGGATTATGATCCTATTGAGAACAAGGCTCAACCTTTTATTTCACCCATGTGACCTGTGAAAGTTCTGATGCAGAAAAATATAGGAAGAAAGTAGTGCCTTTGCTAGTTATTAAAGTTTTAATAACTGAACCACTTCTTTATGTAAAACAAATCATAGTCAAATGATTTTTAAGGACAAATTTGGGACAGGGGTGTACATACCTTGACAGATAACGTATTGGCCACTATCCCATCTACAATGCCTTCAGTAAATGGATCAAAATGCTTGTCGGGCCGCCTCATGAATTCCGGCTTCAATCTATAGCCGCTCTTGCCATTGTATTCGTAAATCCCCATGTTTATTTGCATAGCCAAGTCTAAATATCGGAAAACACAAAGCTCATCATGAATTCATTAGTACTTGGAATAAGAAAGCAAGACTACTTCAGTCCACTTTTGTGACTGTTCTTTAAAAAAGAAAATCGTTTTGGCTACGTTGCAGGAAATAGTTTTTTCCTACACTGTAAAGATCTAGGAAGCAGAGGTAAGCAAAAAGAATTCAGTTACAATTCCCAGATCCAAAGATAACCCTGACAGTGTTGATTTATAATCTTTTTTACTTCAAATATATTTTTGCATACAGTATGTCCATTTCATTAAATATTTCTCTACCTTAATTTTAAAAGCTATGTACAATTCCTTTAAATAATTATATTTGAATAAATGTATTTAACATTATCCAGTAGGTCCCTCATTGGACAACTTCTGCTTCTTCTATGTTTCACCTTGTATATAATATTTTAAGAAACAACATTGTGATGAAATCTTTGAAGATTTCTTCAGTGGTTTTTTTTTTATGAGGAGAATTTCTGGATCAAAAGATGTGCATTTCAGAAAAGTTTTTTGGTAAGTCTTGCTATAATGTCCTACAGGAAGTTTCAACCAATTTACATTCCCCTAGACCAATTTTTTGAGGACTGACTTCTATATACCTCATGAAGCCAGGATACTATAATTACTCATTTTATAATTTATAATCTTAAAATTTGCATTGTTGTGATTACTTACAATGAATATTGAATTATACATTGGTTCTTTTCCAATGGACAAAGGTTCCTGTGTGGAGCTTTCCTAATATCCAGTCTATCAAATGAATAATCACAAGCACTGTGATTGCCAAGTTTAAAAATGACAAGGTTTAGAGGCTGGGGGTGCAGCTCAGAGGCATAGCACTTGCCTAGCACATAGGAGGCCCCGGGTTCTAGCCTTAGCACCGCAAACTCTGCCCTGCCAAAAATGACCAAAAGCCAACAACAGTTTAAGCTCATAGGGAATCTGGGAAGCATCAGCTGTTCTACATTACCTGTGGCATGACTCTTTTCTGTTAATATCACAATAAATAAGTGATGATACCATTACCTCAAAGTCCCACTTAAATCAATTTGAGAGCAGCGAAAATACTGGAAAATGCGTCCCATTTTATTAAATGATCAGAACTGTGATGCCAAAATTTTAAAAAGAAAATAATTGATCTATTATGCTTCAAGAAATTCATTCTCAAAACCTAAGAAATTGCATCAGTAAGTCATACATTCTGAACAATAAAATATGAGAATGAAATGGAGTTTACCTTAGGAACAAAAGAATAATTGCACATTGGAAGATGGATGAAAATAATTGAACACATTGATGCACAAAAGGTGAGACAGACATAATCATCCTAAAGATGCCCAAGGGCTGTTTAATAATATTCAATAAAAACCACTTAAATGCTGTTAGTTGACTAGGATAAGTGTATGTAGTTTTTTAGGATGTTAAATAGAAGTATTTCACAATCATAACCCACATCCTATCTCATGGTGTTACAACATTAAAATTCCTATTAATACCAGAAGACAAACATGTGCACTCTCACCACTAAAATTTAGATAGAATTAAATTCCTGTGTTTGTGTATCTGAAAAGTCCTTAAAATCTGCAGGCAACATAGACTACTAGAAGAGCTTAAGAAGAGGATCATTTATAAAACATATTTATCTGTAAAATAAATACACAAATACCAATATCCAGGAACAGTCTACAAAAAATATAATAGAAGGGGAGGAGGGAGAGACAGAGAGAGAGAGAGCGAGCGAGAGCGAGAGACATTGTGCTGAGAGTATTAATATAAGAATATTAAAACACAAAAACTTTCTTCTGATGGAAGACAATCTTAAAAAATTAGAATTTTAAAATGAATTTATCAGTTTGATGCAATTTTAATCAAAATTTTGTCTTTAATGGTGAGGGAAACACTTTTCCATTCAACTAAATTTATTTGAAATAGAATTCATTGGTAATACGCAAAAGAAGAACTGAAAATTAATAGCAATGAAGGCGAGTGGCCCTTCTGGGTAGTAAGTAAGGCAAAATAAAACAATGAGTTATTACACCAGAAAGCAGAGTAACATTAATAAAAAGGATATAAAATGACAAAATAAGTCTAAATTCACAAAAAAATCACATCTATTGCATAGCAATTCCAGCTCAATGGGATTTTTTTTTTTTTTTTTTTTTTTGTTAAAGAAGGATTGCAGTCACTCAAACTATATACCAAGATGAAAATGGATAAATGAAGAGGAAAGTTACAAACAAAAATAAATCATGACAGAAATAGGAGTAAATACAGACCTGATGGTTGGGTGAGGAAGCCAGCCATCATCATAAAATAAAAACTGTTCAACTCTCCCCATAAAACAAATTTTTCACAAAATAATCACTAGCATGCTCTTTGTATTAAAATTGTTATAAGTGAATAGGAAAATTGACAATAGTCCTTCTATTGAGAATGGGCAACTTATAAGAGCAGAAATATAAAACAAATTATTTAAAGTGTTTAACCTAAACAATAGTCAAAGTAATGTGTTACTAGGGGAAAAATCCCTAATATCTAATGATAGGAAATGGGTGTTCTGTAAATTATGAAACATGCTTAATATATAGCTTTTTCTGCTTGGCATTTAAATATGCACATATATTTTCTTATAACAAAGAAGTACATGAAAAAGTATAAATACAGATGAAGAAGATGGGCACATGAGCAAGCCCACAGTTAATAATATTGAATCACTGAGTGGTAACATTTCTGGAATTTTTTCTTTATAGTATTTTGGATTGTCCATTTACCCTAAAAGATTCTTATGCTACTTTAAAAAGATAGATATTGGGGAGCAGGAAGAACATGTTCAAATGGGAAAGAGAACACTGGAGGGAAGAAAGGGAAGGGAGGAATGGCAAAGGAAGGGGAAGAGAAGGAAAAAATGGAAATAAAACTTCTGTAAATAAGGAGGGAAAATGGGTTAAAGGGAGAGGAGGGGATCAGAGAAAAAACGAATCACGATTATCTCACATACGGGTACAAATACCCAACAACACATGTGATCACGATGTACATCTGAAATGTACAAATGAAATTATAAAAATAAAAAGGGTTCTCTTTTGCTCGAAAAATAATTCAAAAACTAGAAATACTGCCTTTTTACAACTCATTGAGGAAAATGTCACCATTTTGGCTTTGATTTTCCTTCTCTGAGATTTGCCTGCCTTATTTTTCCAACCAAGTCTGGCAGTTTTCTCCTGCAGTTATGTCAGAGTAGTTCTCACTGCTGGGAATGCAACCTGGAGACAGCCTGGGAAGGAGCTTGAGTTGTGACACTCACCCATTGTCTGGAAATTCAGCGCCACCATCTGACAGCCGGCGTTCCAGAAGAGCTGGGGCATGTAGTTGGATGAATCCACACGTGTTCCTTTGGGATAGATCCTGCTAAGCTGCATTTTGTTATATCTGGACCATCATGTTAAGTATTGAATGCCATTATAAAAATAATCCATTGATAATACTAACTGGGAGGTGACATTCACTCTTCTCCATTGGGGAAATTACATACATGTTAAAGATCACCTTGGGTTAACGGGTGAAATACCCAAACAAGCCTTTTGAATAAACCAAACAAATATGCTGGCATAATATAAGCACAGCATCACCTTTGCAGAACCTTTGGATGGAAATGGACGAGGTAGCAAAGGGGGTGGCATCAAGGTCAGTGTGATTTTGTGGGCAGTGTGGAGGACCATCTAATACCAAGGACAGCAGGAAGAGGGGATGTGTTCATTCATGGGAGAGAATGATGATCCCATCTGGCCAAAGCAGAGAATGTGGACAGCTATTTTTGAAATCCTCTCAGTTCATTTCTCTGAGAATGCTATTTGCCAAGACAACGGCACACTTTATGAAGGATAATGAGGTAAATGTAGCACAGAAGCTCTGACCTTGCCTCCCATGTTGGTTCAGTTTCCACCCTAAGAACTCTGTAGATATTGGACAATGATATTGATCACCTGTATAATGCTATCAACTAATTCCTATTACCAAGTTAGGTCGAAGTTAGCTAAGGACTTGAGCCAGGAGAAACACAGTTGTGTTTTGATTCTGAGGCTGTGCATGTGTGATTTGGGTGAGTTGTTTCACCTGTCTGTGCTGCAGTCTCCTGGTCTGTAAGGTAGACATAGCATTGCCTATGTCACGGGCCTACTGTGAGAATTAAACGAGATAAAACACATAACAAAAGACATATCACAAAGTCAATGACGAACACTACTGCTAATGGTTTTCACCACTTGACTCTATTTATGGGTTCCAGACTGTTTCCTCTCCTCTCCTCGAGGAGTGTTAAGGGTGACTTTTACTGTAGGAATCGCTTCATGAAACTGAGATTGCTTGGAGAGTTAGCATTCATTTTATGAAAGAATTAAAGGTTTACTGCATCTTATTTTGTTCATGAATAATAGTACAGAGTTGTGTGAAAAATACTTTTATTTACATTATATTATCATCACCTCAATTATTTTTAATTAGAGATATACTGCATGTAAGAATGTGAGATGCTAAACCAGGTATATTACATTGCACGCATGCTACATGTATATGAAGTACACATACTCCTGTTACATACACTGTACATAATTGAGGCAGCAAATCACGAAGCAAGTAGTATTATCTCTGTGTATAGATGAGGACAATTAGGACTAAGCAACTTGGCAAGGGCTGCAGAGCTTGCTGCAGTGAGGTGGCCCTGTCATCTGGCCTCCTGACCTCTAAGGCTAGGTGCCCTTTACATAGGTAAGGCTGCCCCTCTCAGCACAATTTTACCGTTCCCACCGTAGAGACTGATGCTATCCTATGTGCCTTGCTCACCCGACTTCAGCAGTGTTAGTTCAGCAGTTGCCCGTCAAATCAAGGATACTCTACAAATTCCACAGGAGACTTTGTAAGTTGTTCAAGTCCTTTGGTTTCCACAAAAGAAGACATTTCAAAACTTTTATTTCTTTCTGAGTTGAACAACAACAAAAAGGAAGGTGAGGAATAAAACAGTGTTATAGATTATAACATAAAAGAAGTAAGCAAATGTTCGGGGAAGTTGAGGGGAATTAATTCTCATGTAACTTTCATGTTAAATTTTTTTTTTCCACTGACATATTTACCTGTAACAAAAGGTGAGTCTTGCTGTTGTTTCTTCTGGTATTACAGCACGTGAGATACACTCATGGTCATATGATTTAGGGTAATGAATGAATTTTAGATGAGTATAATATGGCCATCAAAATGGTTTTGCCACAAGAATAGGGTATCTACGGGAGTATTTGATCTCAACTCAGCCATACTGAATTCTTGAGACAATTGTTAGAGATTAGCCAAAGCTAGGAGGGAAACATCTGTGCTAGCACTTTCTGTCTTATTCACACCCACCCTGTCCCATCAGAATTACGGTATTTCAAAGCAGAAGGATCCTTGGAAATTCTCCAGTCTAGGGCCCTCCTTTGTATATTAGATAACAAAGACGAGGCAAGCGAATGTGCCACAGATCTCAATATTATTGGTCACATGGGTGTTACCAAAACATTCTGAAAATGAAATCCAAACTTCCAACTAGAGTGAGAGGAGCAAAATGAAGTTATCTCAGGCTAGAAAGGCAGAGTCAAAGAATTTCTGCACTATCTTCCCACATCAAAATTGCTGGTTATGCACAAAGAAGTGTTGTTCAGAGTGGTGAGACAGCTCTTGAAGTTGCAAAATTGGTAACTCTTGACAATTTTTGCTCTATTTGCCTCCCCCTTCTAAAATTAAAACCTTATTCTTTTCCAAATTACTGCAGATTCCTCCTTCATCCATATGCCTACCTGTTCGAGTTTACTCTCAGGGAACCCCCGGTTTCTCTTATTTTAGTCTTTCATAAATTTATGTTCATAGGAATAATTCTTGCAAGCATGGCTACTCACTAAAGTTACATCAAAATGAAGAGGCCTTCATAAAATATGTTTGGTATTCTTTTTCTTAAGGACGTGATAATATGACATGAAACACAACAAGTGAAACATTCGTGTCTAAGTTTGGTTGAGCCTGTCATAACTGAGTTCTAGGAGTTTTTCACCAGGGAGTTGAGATCATCTTGCAGCCAATAGAAGTTACAGTAATAGAAAAGTAGCTACTTTAGGATGTTCCAAATTGAGTAACTCAGGGGCAGCAGACATCAGTGATTATGGCAAGAAATGTTGAAATTTTTATACGTAAGCTGTAGTGGAGGTTAAATTCCTTGTTGCAGATATCTAGACATCATTATACCACTAAGTTAGGAGTCTTTCAGTAAAATCATATAAATATAAACATGTTATAAAGGGGCTTCGGTTATTTTCCACATTTTTATTGTGCATATAAGTTACACGGACTAATGGCTTTCACTTTGTGCACATAACATGCTCTATTCCTTCCCTCCTTCTTATAATCCCCTTTGCCCCACCATCCCTCCTAGTTGCACAACTTGAAACTCCTGGTTTTTTTGCAGGGTTTCACTGGAGGCTTGGATTTTGACATAGCTACAAAGCCATCTGTACAAGAGGCTTCTGCAATTAAGCAGTACTTCAGTTTTAAGAGTGCATCCTTGTAAGCAGAAAGTAAGTCCCAAGAATGCTCTCTTTCTCTTAACCTGACAGCATCTTATACTTCATGTAAATATAAGGGGCATTTCTATGAAAAGACACTCTTCTCTATGTAGAAGAAGGATTTTATATATATATATATATATATATATATATATATATATATATATATAGAGAGAGAGAGAGAGAGAGAGAGAGAGAGAGAGAGATGTATGTATTCACTATTGATGCCTAAGTAGATGAAGGGAAGACTCGAAGGTAGTTACCTATTCTCCTGAATATACAAAATGTGGTGGACAAATGCAATCTGGGTGAACGGGTTCTATTTTGAGTTACCAAAGTGTCTCCTGCTTCCCTTCTGGGGACTGGAAAGATAGTTTATTTTAACTCAGTCTTTTATATAATTGATGGAACCATCATGTCACAGACCAAAATCAAATCTAAAACTCTCAATATGCTGCATGCTGGTCAAATATCTCTCAGATGACCATATATGGCCTATGCCCTCTTGAATACTTTGGGTGACCATTGTGGGATACTGCCTCATGGATATATATATATATATATATATATATATATATATATCATATATATATGATACTCTACCTATGCAGGTGTTCAAGACAGCATGGACAGAATAGTTCTTTTAAAACAGAATATTTCTTTTAAGACAGAATGGTTCTTTTAAGGGTGACACTCTTTGATCTAATTACCACGTCTTTTAAATATATTCACTTTAATACTGCACTAGAAATTTTTGTCCAGTGATAACTTACTTTTTGAAATTTCAAATGATTCAAACTTGACTGGCTGAATATAATTCACCAGATTAGACATCTCTTCGGTGGCCATAGCCTCACTCCCAGCAGTTCCCTGGAAGAAGAAATAAAGATTAAAAAGTGAGAAAAATTTCCAGAGTCAGCATAACATTATCAAGGGTTATTTTCCCAGGAAAATGGAGGTAAGATTCAAACCAGCAGAAAACCATCCTTCCTCTTCTGACAAGGATTATTGCCATGAGAAATTCATTACAGGAGAAAGAGAAAGTAATACTGGTTAAGGATCCCTCATTCAAAAGCCTTGAAACCCGAGCTTCACATTTCAGTGTTGGGACCCAATAATTCATTTTCATTTTTTTTCAGATTTTGGAATACTTGCATACATGTGACGAGCTATCTCAGGGATGGGACCCAAGTCTAAAGGTGAAATTCATCTATGTTTCATGTGCTTCTTATACACATGGGCTGAAGGCATTGGTATACAATACATAGTTTTGTGCAAGAAATAAAGCTCCAAGGCGGAGGAGTTTTTGATTTGGGAGCACTTTAGGTTTTGGATTTTCATCTTGGAGATCCTCATCTGACAAAGGTTCAAAGGGCCTGCAGTGAGGTCTGGTCTGGGGCCAGCAGTCCCAGCCCAAGGGCTGCAAGAGCTCGCCCCCTCCGCAGCCGGGGGATTCAGAACCCACCCTGTCACACTGCGAGGTGAAAGTGCGTTCAGGTTTGAGAAGCACTGACATTGCTGGGAGCACCGGTCGCACAGCTGAGGTCGAAGGGGAGTAAGTCGGATACTGCACAATAAGAAAGTTACTATGTAGGTGACAACTGGGCGAGCTTAAAATTGTTGATGATAAAAATTCAACTGCTTCTCCTCCTGAACCCCCTACCCCTTTCTGGGGTTCCCTTTGTGCCTGGAACCCAAGGAGCACAGCACGGTATGGGGTCAACTCTGTAGCTTCTAGAGCAGGTCAGATGATCTTGAATCCGAAGCCAATTAGAAGCTATGTGATCTTAAGCAAGTTACCTAACTGGTCAGTTCCTCAGTTCATAGATCTGTAAAATTAGGATAAAATCAGTGCTTAAAGTGTATAGAGTTTTTGTGATTATTTAATGGGTTAATTTATGTGAAGGGGCTCAAAACAGCATCTGAAGCATGGTAAAATCTCATCTTGCTGTGGCTGTTATTAGCTGTTGCACATTACTTTGACAGACTTTTTAACAATGAAGAAAGCTAATACTGCAGTATTGGCACAAGACAGGCTCTGTAGAATGATCTAATATTTTCTCCCCATTTTTAAAAGAAGAAAACCATGGAGACTTGGGTTTTTCCTTTACTGCTATTTTTGAAACTCTGGTAGCAATATTTAGGTTAAATGTCAACTGGGAAATGTTCATGCATTCACAAGTTCAACTGTTCAAATAGTAAGAGAGTTTAAATACAATGATTCGGTATCATCCACCAAAACTAATAGGAAGTTGAAATCGTTCTTTTGCAAATATAACTTAACAACATTGTGATTGTTTTCCTTCTGGCTGAAGATGCAGGTTTGAGAGTCACCCATGAAAAGCTTTTTGTTAGAAATTGGAGTTACTACAAACTATATTTTATGGACAGTCTCACTGCTCTTTGTTTTTTTTGTTTTGTAGTGCTGGTGTCTGAACCCGGGGCTGTGCATGTGCTATACACATGCCCTGCTGCTCAGCTACACTCCAGACACTAGCTTTCCTCTTAGAAGTTAGGTTGAAATTTACTAAGGGACCATAATAAAGTGCCCCACCACCACCCCAGGCTACACTAAAGGAAATATACGATGAAGAACATTAAGTAGGAACAGCTTATTATGACTTATGTTTACACCAGAAAGCTACCAGTACAGAGACAGAGATTTGCTAATGTGTTTGAAATCAGACCAGTGCAATCCTTTTGACTGGGACTTCTGCTAAAATAAAGTTCTCAAATTCTCATTGACCTGCCTCTGATGGACTTATTCTGTGCAATTAGTTTCTGACCCAATAATGTTACTTGGGAATGTCTTAGATTGTTTCAGTGGGTGTCTCTCGTGCCTGCCAAATTACAACAACGAGATTAGTGTCATTACTCCCTCTTAAATATTTCTCTAAATTCCATAATCTTCCCTGGACTGTGTGTGAGCCATTTGACTGCTTCAAAAACTAGTTAGCAGTTGCTCGCCATGCATTTACTCTTAAAGCCTCTAGATGGCAGAAAAGGACCGCGGGATGTGTCCTCTCATTAACCTGGCAAGCCCTTGTCCAGTTGCTGGGACCTGGATACCCACCTCATCCATTGAAGACTTTTTACAGTCGTCATCATCGTCATCGTCATCACTCTCCGTATCAGCCTCGCCTGTTAAATTTTAATCACAGTGTATGACATTAAAATGCGTACGCTCAAGGCACTTGTAACAAAACATTTAGCCAAAAATTGATCAGGGAGTTCCATGGTAACTGGATTTTGTTTTTTTGGTGTGTGTGTGTGTGTGTGTGTGTGTGTGTGTGTGTGTGTGTTTCAGAGATCTAAATTTTATGAGTTGTAGAGAACTATATTGACATTTTGAATATAGTTTTTTTCTAGAGTTGTGAAGAAGTATCATTTAAAATATCTCAGTTCTATACAAAATGTCCTTATCATTTTTTTCCTGTGGATGTTGTTAAAGCTTGTGACATCATACACAGTTTTTTTCTGTGGCATATGTATCCTATGATGCTAACACGGACCAAGTATCCCTTTTTCTTTCCTAGTCTCCTAAGTCCTGACGCCAGTGCAATTCTGGGTTGCTCCATAGCTTAGTGAACCTGTGTTGAGCTTTTCCAAGGGCTTGGAGGGCTTCCCAGAAATCAAAGAAGTGATGAACTAGGACAAGAACTCTGGAGCCATGGTAGCAAAAATGATTGCAAAAACTGGAAATCCATTTATACATGCACGATCAACAATGCATATATATTAGAAAGCAGAACAGTCTGTTTAAAAGGGCAAGATAGTAATCACAGTACTCGGGTGGCTGAGGCAGGAAGATTGCTGTGAGTTTGAGGCCAACCTGCGCTATAAAGTGAGCTCAAGGCCAGGCTGAACTGCATAGTGAAATCCTGTGCCAAAAAAGAAAAAAGAAGGCAAGATAAAGTGGGTGAACACTTTGAAATCATTATTCTTAAAAGTCTCACTCACTCAGACCTAATTCAGCTTCATATTAACCAATCATTGATTTACTATTTATTATCACTATCATTTATCACAGTCATTTCAATAGATTGTTTTCTCCCCCGAGGATTTAATGGACATTTTTCCACCCAAAATATTCACACTAGTATGAAGTATTACATTCTTCCATGCCTCTGTGCTTTAGTCCCACCCAAGCATGTAAAAATATTTGCAAGTCAAATGTAAAGAAGTTATGATTCTCAAAGTATTTAACTACGGTATTAGCATTATCAAGCCAGTAGATGGCAGTATTGGCTGGACAATGAGGCAAGCAACTTTGCCAAATACCGCCCCCCACATCCCGTCTTCTGTGGTTAAATGTCCCCATTCAGTCCATAGAAATGACAAGGTACCCGCATCACTGCCTTCCAAGAAGCTTATAAATACTTTCATTTGGCTGACGACATTCAATCAATGATGGCAGTGAGTAAGGCATTCATGAGATATCTTTAGAGGTAATAGATTTCTGGGACCAACAAGCGTTATTATTTATGACTTATTAAAGACCTCATAAACCACTTTATGAGGCCAATATTGCATCAATAGGGTGAGTCAATTTTATTTTGGATAGAAAATGTACTTCTTTTCATTGTCAACATGTACTTTCAAGAGGTTGCTCCTTAAGTACTTCTAATAATGAGAATTTTGCCTAAAGTTCTCATTCTTGCTGTTTTTTTTTTTCACCAAAGAGGGGATTCTTTTAATGAAATAACCTGAAAAAATGTTTGGCAGAGCCTTCCACAAAATGTTTCATTGGACACAGCGATATAGCAGTCCTTCTAAACACCTAGCCAGGTCATTTTTCTGTTTCTGTGGGAAAGAAAGAATTTGCCTTCCTTTACTTATAAGAGCAAAAACCTAGGTTTTTTTTTTTTGACAAGTTTTTAAACATGTTTATTTATTTGTAAAACTGATCCACAGTAATTGTATATATTTATAAGGTTCTCTCATAAGTCTTTGGAAGAGTCTGGAAGGAATCTTGTTGAACTATAAAAAGTAAATAAAATCTTGACCCTAAGTCTTTAACATGAGAGTGCTGGCTACGGGGCAGAATCCTAGAAAGGCAAATGGCCAATAGAGGCCATAGTAAGTAAATTAACTTTGAAATAAGATCCATGTCATGTTTTTCAAGTGACTTGAGTTTCTGATACTGCACAGTCTACAAACCAAGTGGTACCTTAGCAGTACCCTTTACCCAGGGGCCTACCTACATATTAACATGTCCAAAAATCTCCACTGAAATAAATAATGATTGCGCAACAGAGGACAGCCTAGCTTAGGAAATCTACCGAATTGCTAACAGATTGCTGCTCTTTCTCAGTATTAAGCAATAACGTCCATTGCCTGTAAAAGTTATTTGTATTATGCATCCACTTAACGAGAGAGGGAGAGAGAACTGGTAGTAGGAAAGGCAAACGGTAGAAAAAAAACAAGCACCCACATTCAGGGGAAGAAGGTTTGCTGGTAGCTTTAGGGGGACAGGAGCTTGTTGGAAGCTAGGTGGTTTCTAATGCTAACCATTTCAAAACTTCAAAAAGAACATTCTTACCGAGATCAAAAGTTATTTTTGAAGAATAAATCAGAATTGTGTAATAACATTGGAAATATACATTGAAGAGCTACAAAACAGAACCCTCTCAGAGAGTGATATAATGTTTGTAGGTAAGGATGTCGATCTAAACAGTAAAAGCAAATGGCAATTAGGATGCAAAAATAGAAGGCAAGACAAGCCCGAGTCTTGCTCCATTATTATTTTTCTGATTGCTTTAGAGTTTATATTTTTCACTTTTAAATTGTTTTTAGATCTTTTCATTGATATATGATAGGAATACAGAAAAAAATACTGTCCAGATCATACATAAGATGTATACAGTGCAGAGAACATTCATCAAATGAAAGTGTCTAAAAGTAACCAGTATCCACATTAAAAAACAAAATGTAACTCAGCTTTTAGAAAGCCCCCGGGGTCCCTTTTCCTTACTTCCTCTCCAAGGGCAAATTTTACCCTGGCTCCTAACAGCACAGATTAGCTTTGTCTGCTTTTGTACTTTGTATGAATGGACTCATAAAGTACACGTTTTTATGTTTGACTTATAGTATTCCTTCGTGTGAATATACCACCATTTATTCACTTGTTGAACATTTGTTTGGTTTCCAGTACTTGACTATTTTTAAAAGTGCTGTGTTTAGCAGTCCGTATACACATCTCTTGGTAAAGGTGAATACACGTTCCTAACCTACTGGGTGTTTCTCTAGAAGTGGAATTTCTGAAGCTTGGAGGGCTATGTTCAGCTTTTGTAGATACACTGAACACTTTTCCAAAGTGACTATTCCAGTGTTAAACTTCTGTCACAGTTTATCCTCTGGCCAGATCCCCAGGCTGTGCCTGCCAAGCAAATGTCCTACCTTCGAACTACGCCACTAGCCCCTGAGTCTTAACTTTTTTTCCTTCCTTCTTCTCTTTTTTCTTTTTCTTTTTGGAGTACTAGAGATTGAACAGAAGGCTTTTGCACTGAGTTATATCCCCAGTCCCTTTTTTTATTTTGACACAGGGTCTTTCTAAGTTGCCAAATTGCTCAGGCTAGACTCAAATTGGAGATCCTCCTGCCTCAGCCTCCCAGACGGCTAGGAGTACAGGCATCCACCACCATGCCAAGTTCAAAGTTAAACTTTATTGCAGACTTCCTGCTATCAAGCTGGGTGTTTCCTCTACTTAATCAGATCTTTTAATGCACCTTCAGATTATCAAGGTTCTGACTGGACTTGGAAAATGAATTGGACTGAATGACAAATAATCCTAGGGAAATGAGTGACCACTCTGTCTTCCTTTCCAATCTACCATAAAATATCTATTTCCATCTAAGTTTAAGAGGAAAAAGAAAGACAATAAGTATCACCTAATAACTTTGATAGATAGTTCAAGTAATTTTGCTATTTCATGACTTTTAAAAGGTTCTGTAAAACATAAAATACTAAGACACCCAGCAACCTTTAGCCAGGGATCAGCAAGTATGCCCCCACCTCCCCTGAACACCTTGTTCTCGGTCTTATTGTTAATTTTTCCCATTAAGGACCTTAAAATCACGTAGTCACCCTGAAGATTATTTGGCTAATGTAGAGCCAGAATAATGCCCTCCCACACATGGTCATGTCCTGTGAAAAATAAAGAAGACCGGAAGTTAGGGTCAATCGAAGACCTTGCGACCTGGGTGGCCTGGGCAATCTGACACTGAGACTCGAGTCTCTCTGAACAGAGGACATTTCCCGGAATGATCAGAAGGAGCTGCTGTGCTAGAGAACTGCGGGCCTGCTGGCTTTGAAGCTGGGGAGGGTGCCGTGAGCCAAGGGTGTAGGAGGCTCTAGAAGCTCAAAAAGCAAGGAAAAGAATTGTTCCTTGGCACTTCCAGAGAGGAACACAGTCTTACAGCTCCTGCATCCCAGTGAGTCTCTGAGTTTCTAGAACTCGAAGATACAACATCCGTGTACTTTTAAACTTGACGTTTGTAGCAGCAATAGAAAACCTAGGCCGTTTAAATCCGCGCCAAATAGTCCCTCTAAGGTAATTTCAGAGGCCCCAGGCCCCTCCCAGCCTCACCGGCTCCTGGGGACGAGGGCTCAAACACGCTGGAGGAGTCACTGTAAGTGTTGGACGCTTGTTCTGAGAGCTTCTTTTTGCCACTGCCTTCTGATGACTTGTGTGATTTCTTCTTGTTTTTCACCAAAATTTTATACATTAAATCCATAGGGCTTGGAAGAGGGACTCCAGATTCCAGCTAACAAGAGAAAAGCGCAGTCTATCAAAATCTGTGCCTTCCTTGAAAGTCCCTCCAGAAGCCCCAGCAAGCACTGGACACCCAGAGTGTCTAGATTATTCTTCACGAGGGACCTACACTATGCGTGTTCTGTGTCTGGAGGTGGGGGTGGCCGGTTCCAAGCTCTTTCTTTGTCACATCTACACCTAGTTTAACTCCTGTACATGTAGTTTTCAACAACAAAATCGTGAGGTGATCTACCTAAGTTCTGTGAGTTTCCTGATGGCCCACATAAATCCAACTGCCTTGATGTAGGACAGGTAAGGCCTTGGTTGGAATTTTCAAAGCAGGGAAGCCCAGGATCTGGTAGGAAGAATGGGTCCCATGAGTCAGGAGCTTCCAAACCAATTGGTGGAATCAACTGCTCAGATGTAGTTTAAAAAGAGGCTGGGGCCGGGGATATAGCTCAGTGGCACAGTGCCTGCCTGGCAAGCGCGAGGTCCTGAGTTTGATTCCCAGTACCAAAAAAAAACCACAAAAAAACAACAAAACCCAGCCAAATGTCCACCCAGGTAGTAGGTAATCTCGCTGCGCATCTCCTGGGCTTCACATTTCCTTCCAGCCCTGACATTCAAGCTACCACACTTGCAAGCCCTCTACTGTTTCATGTTTGCACATCTAATGGGAAAATCGATTTCCCAGGAGAAGGGCGTTAGATACTGTATCAGACAGCACTTGTGCCAGCCACAGGAGGGTTATTTTTAGGAAGTCTACTGAACTCCCATAGCTCATCCTCTGTTCTTCTCAAGGAGCCTGGGGACTGGTCTGAACTCACTTAAGGATGTGTACGGACTGGGCCAAAGGGTCTAAGAGTGGAGGGGCTATGTTAGGATACTTTTGTTGTTTTTTTTACCCCACACAAGGATATAATCACAGCCATAGAAGCCTGAGTTCAGCCTGAAAGGTGTATGTAAGAGAGGGAGAAAGGGGCTTGAAAATGCTTGTGCCACCTGCAGTGTGCTGCTAATCACTGATGAGGCTCCACTGGGAAGGAAGCAGGGTCCTGTCTTCTTAGACTGACTGTGTGCTGCCTCTGATTGCTGGGAATCCTGCACCTCTGACCGAGTTAAATGAGGCAGCAAGGCAGGGAAAAGGCAGGGAGGAGGACGGGAATAGGTTTGTGTCTACTGGGCACCTCTTGGTTAAAGAGCTCACGGTCAACTGCATTCATCGTACCAACCAATAGAACGGGAGGGAAATAAAAAGTCTCCCAGTCATAAATAATATGAGCCTTCCTCCTGGATCAGACATGAAAGCTGCTTACTGGATATTTTTCCAGTGGCTCCATGAGAAGGGCATCGCCGAAGATCAGCCGGCAGTACTCCGCCATCTTGGCTTGCTGCTTTGGGCTAAGGGAGAAAGAAAAGGAAAGAAAGCAAGAGCTCAGATGTGGTGACTTCGTGTTATCAACTGCAGAAGGAGGTAATTCCCTAAATCCCACCATTCACGACCCACTGTTATCATTCCAAGTTGCTATGCTGATGGAGGTGAGATTTCAGTAACACACAGGTGGACAGTGACAGCTGGTGCACACTGGGGACGTAGGCTGGGTGAAGCTATTTTTAACGCTGACCTGCATAGATACTGACAGAGAGGAAGAGGGAACAGCAGGTCATTTGCCTGTCATTGAATTCTTGAAATTCCCAGAATTAGAGACTTCCTTCCCCTTGTTCCGTTCCCTGGTTCTAAGTCAATTGCAAGACACTCACAGGGGGGAGGGGGGAATCTCCTGTGGAGAAGAGGAAAAAGCAGAGGGGACTTGCGTAGGGGTCCTACAAGAAAGGCAAAAGCAGCAGACACCTTGCAGACAAGTCTGGCACTCTTTTGTACATGTGGCAAAGGAGGTGTCCTGAGAGAGCTGCCAGCAGGAACCCAGACTGCTGGGAATAGGCTGGAGTCCCAGGGCTTGCTGAGCTGAACTCCAGGCTTTGAACGGTTCCGGATCTATAAAACCAGGATGATCACAGTGTTCCTGGAAAGGGGCAGAGGATGCTGAGAAGGTGAAATGAAGTCACAGATACAAATGCCTTTGAAACACTGCAGGAGCAGGCACTTGTCAGATGATCCCGCAGTTAGAGGGAGGAGTCTGTCACCTGGACTAGAAAACTTATGCCTCCAGCACTTGCGAATGTGCAATGGAGAGGAACATCCACGTGCTTTCAATACGCCTGCTTTCCTCAACATTTTCAAAAGCAATCAACATGTTTTCTCTTTCCATGGAATGTTACATAGCACTATAAGGTATCCAATTCTGTGGAGTCTTATATACTCTGAGTTTGAGAGTCAGGCTATCAAACTTGATCCCCCAAAGTCAAATCTCTTCCTACTGCTGCGATCATACTCAGGAGCAGAAGTGGGGCTGTGCCTGGAGTAAGGCGTGGTGATGAAAAGTCTGCTTCACCACAATTCAAAACAACTATAAAGCAGGATTCTTCCTTTCACTCCTTCTTCCCTCAGTGATAAGCCTGGACCATGGATCATTTTCCCCTCCGGAAGGGGACAAGTGGAAATTCAAATTACAATACGCCACAGTGCTATAGAGAACAGTTCTCATTATATCCCTTTTACTCTATTTTTTTTTTAAACAAAGCAGGTGTTTTAGGGGCCAGGAGAGTTCTTTGGGGTTAAAACATCATCCTCTACAGCTGGAATTGCAGGAATAGGAAAGGAGAGGTTCTAAGAACTTGTGATGCTCCCCAGCAAGTTCCTAGCACCTTCTCATCAGGCCTCTGTTGGAAAGTGTGTCGATGAGACCTTGGGAACAGGCAGAGCAGAGGCTGAGGTGGCAGAGGCTGCAGTGACGCCGCTGGTTGTCACACACAGGGGCTCCGCCAAGTCGGCCCATGCTCTGGCTGCCCCTGAGAACAAGTCCATTTGTGCTTGGTCCACACATTCCAGGTTGCACTGAAGGAACTTCCCAGAGCCTCTGCTTCATTTTCTCAGAGTGAGCCTATCCAGCATCACAGAGCTCTGCTACACCAAGTGAAAGGCAGCAGCGATGTCACCCGGAGCTCGCGAGAAAGGTAGATCTGGTGCAGGTGTCTGGGGAAGGGAACCCAGGAATCCGCGTCTTCACCAGCTCTGTCTGTGCCTTTGCCGCATGTCCTGGCCTGGAAGCCACTGTGGCAGGGTAACGTGGGCCAACAGGTGCTGCAGTAGATGCACTGCTCCTAGTGTCGGGACTTGGTGACTTTGGGAACGAAGAAGAACTTTATTTACCCAGTGTCCTGCTGCCAAGATTTCCCAGGGAGCCATATTCTTACCAGCAGAGTGACATCAGGGTGGTGTTCCAGGTGTCCCTAGGCAGGTATGCTCTGCCAGGTGGTCCCCAAATCAAGACCGCAGAAGGATGGAGCTGGAGCAATGATTCTAACTCAAGTCAAGTACCAAAACGTCCGAGCCATTGGCATTGCAGGGAACACAGCCAGGTCCCCAGTCCCTTTATTCATGGAATGGGGAGGGAAGCCCTGGTACATGCTTTTCAAAAAGGCTGCAGGTCATTTCTGTGCAGGTGGGTAGTGACCCACAGGGTTAGATTCTCATCTAACAATTCATTCACTTCACCTAGGGTCTTGCTAAAGGGCAGATTCTGACACTGAATCCACGATGGGGCCAGCATTGCTGCAATCTCTGTCTCCATCATTTCTCTCTCTTACAGTGTTACAGAAGAAACCAAGGGTCTCAAACACTCTAGGCAAATGCTCTGCCTCTGGTTCTCATTCCCCAGCCCTGCATTTCTAAGAAGCTGTTCTCCAGGATGCAGGTGCTGCTGGTCTGAGGAACACCGAGGGAAGAGCAAGGATCTGTGTCTAAGACGGAAAGAGCAAGATGGAAGTGTCCAAGAAAAAGTACAATGGATTACTTAGCAATCAAGCCGTTCCTGTTCTTAATAAACACACCTGCTCACCTGACTAAATCGTAGCAGAGAGCAAATCGACTACAAAAGTCAGAAGAAAACAAAATGTCTTCAATTACAGGTTATAACTGAAGAAATAAAAGGCATTAAATTGCAATTAACAAACAAAAAATAGTAAAAGAAAACTGAAGTTTTAGAGCATTGACAGCAGCTATCATGGAAATAGGGGACAAATTCACAAATGCATTTTGAGCTTCAGGCTGTATCAGACATTTATGAACATATTAAAATGTCCATAAGGTATAAGCACCAGGCAAAGTGGTCAGTTTTCCAACAAGGAGAATACCCCATGCCTTGGGGTAAACCCTCCAATTTGAACTAAACCAAGTCCCTCTATAGGTGAGGAATCTGCAGCTCCAGGAAGTTAAGGACCTTGTCCAAAATCTCACGATTCTCTGTGGCTGCACTAGGGTTAAACATTACTTCACTTGGCTTCGGCATAGGATCCTTTTGAAGAAAGTGCTAGTTCTCAAATTAAGTGGAAGGGTAGAGTGAACTAAGGTGCTTGGAGAGTATGTTCCTGGGTCTCTGTGGGGGTGAAGGATTCTGAGATTTCACCCAGTGAAAGCAAAAGTGCTGGCACTTAGGGAAGATGTGTGTCACAGGTCCACAACCAGGTGTGGGGAGCCACAAGTCAAATGCAGGATTCTGCTCAGGGAAGAAAAGTTCATGAGCTCTCTTTGGGGGTGACTTTTCCTAGGAAAGACCTGTGGCTGAGCAATTTTAGTATCTGGAGTTGAAGGACAGTGGGAAGGTGTCAAAGACAACTGCTCCCCACAATGGAAGCCAGGCTTTTAGCATGTCACAGCCACTAGTGTGTTTCAGTGGTCTGGGGTACAATCATGGGACCAGGCCAGAGTGGTTATCCTGTTTCTGTTGTCACCAGATAACAGAAAAGTTATGAACTTTTAACAGCTAAATGCATTTTTAACAGCTAAATGTACTTTTAACAGCTAAATGTATTTACCTAGAGAGAGCAGCATCAGGGCACTATCATTCTATGGTGCACAAAGTAGGAATTAGTTTTGGATCTCTGTATAGAAGTGTGAAAGATGATAAAAATAAAAATCCTATAGTTGAGAGTCACAAGCCACATAAATGTGACATTTGTAGGCAGTTGCCTTGGGAAGCTCTGGTTATCCCAATTTGATGTTTTGGAGGCTCATGATACTTCTGTCTGTGTAAGGGATAGTGTTAGTTAATGGCCTGAGTTCTGCAGCCAGGTGGGCTGGATTTGAATCCATATCTGCAATGTTTTAGCTGCATGGCCTTGGGCAAGTTACTCACCCAAGCTGGGATTCACTTCCTTCATCTGTAAAATAAGGATGCTTATAATATTTATTCTGAGGAACATCTGGGTTTGTAATGAGGGCTACGTAATCTTAGGCATGCAAAGTACATGGAAGGTTGCTGGGCACAAAATAAACGTTCAGGAAATGTCAGCTGTTGTGGTGGTGGTAGTGGTGGTGGATATATCTCTGGTTGTCCCCAAGGAGAGTTCAGGACAGTGTATGACAGTCTAGAATGAAACTGTCATCTTTCATGCTGTCAAATTGTAATACAACTATTTCTTTAAGAAAATAAATTTAGCAGATGTGTTTTCTTAAAACAGATAAAACAACAAACAAACAAACCACATCAGCAAGACCGGAAACTACTGTGCCAGAAAAAAAAGTGGCCAATGCAGTTAGGGCCCAAGGACAAATAGGTGGGCAGAGCTGAGCGAATCCCCTAAGGAAGTCACTTCCAAGTTCTAGCTGTTGCAGCCAATGAGGTATTAAATGCAGCAATCCAAAAGGTGCTCTGAGGAAACTGCAACTGGACAGAACAGATTTCTTCCTCTCAAAAGGACCCCCAGAAATGGTAGGAAAACTTTGTGTCAGCTGATTGCACCGTGCTTTGGATGGCTGTTTCCTGATGATGCAGAATCAAGTGAATGTGATATGGTTTTCGTTCTGTCCACTGTTTTAAGCAAAACTGGCTGTGAATCTGCATGCAGCAGAACGGGCTCATGAGGAATGGGCTTATACAGTGGCATACTGAGCTTCAGATCCACAATAGAGACAAGTTTTGTGTAAGAAAAGGTGTTGCACTACTTTGTAAAAAGAAGTCCTTGGTTTAAAAGTTGTATTATGGCATGAAAACGGATTCTACAAGGCCAATGGACTATTTTAATGCTTATGAGATTTAAATGGATGAGTTCCATCAACATACAGATGAAAACATGCCACTTATTGTATAACATGATTGAAGAATGCCATTAATAACGTCAAATAGTCTTTAGTCTAATGAACACTTACTAAATATACCCTATTTGAGAGACTTTGATGATTGTATTCAATACTTACGAATCCACGTGGTTCTCAAATGAGAGGAGAATTGGAAAAGGTGAAGTCTTAAATGCACACTCTGCGATTGCTTCAATCACTTCCTAAAAATGAGAATACATGTATGTTTAACGTGCCAGAATTTTTTAAGTGTATACTTTTAATTTGGGGGTTAAACCCATTCAAATGGTGTATTATATTTTACCCAGGGCCTTGCTCCTGCTAAGCAAAGACTATACCACAGAGCTCCTCACCAAGCCCCTGTGGTTGTCTTTTTTATGCATAAAATTTTATCAAATGCCATAAAATGGACAAAGGGGATGTGAGGGCAGCTAGAGTATAAAATGTCTGACTCCTGATTCTATAGGGTAAGAAGAAAAAAAAGACTGGATTTTGGTGGAGGGGAAATCACAGTTTTGAAGAATATTTATGTATTAAGTAAATATTTTATTTTTCATAATGAGTGAAATTTAATCACAGTATAAAAATTTGGGACAGAGAAGGTAAAATTTGCTCCCATAAATTCACTTTTTGAACCAAATCACTGTTGTGGTTATATCATCATGAGTTCATATTTACTTCCAGCCTGTTTTTTAGGTATCTGTGTAACTTTTGATTATAGTGGATACTCAGACTGCATTTTTGAAAAATAGTATGTGAAAGCTTAACTGAGACAGAATTCGGCCATTTTAGAGTGTCCAGTTCAATGGCTTTCAGTATATTCACAGAATTGTGCAATTGTCATCCCTATCTGCCTTGGGAGACTCTGTCACTCCAGAAGGAAACTCTGTACCCAGGAGCACTCCCTCCTCTTTCTCACCCTCCCCCCACCCATGTTGTCCTAGGCAACCACTGATTGACATTATGTCTCCACACATCTGCTGATTCCAAACATCTGATATGTGGAGTCCCGCAAGGTGTGACCCTCTGTGTCTGGCATCTTTCACGCGGCATGTTTTAAAGTTCACTGGGGTGTGACATGAATAAGGACTTCATCTTGCTCAGTGGCTGTCACACCTCCCAGCTACTCTAGAAACTGGAAAGGGAGGGTAAATTAAGTCCAGGAGTTTAAGATCAGACTGGGCAACATTGTGAGACCATCTCTCAAATAAACAAACAAATAAGTGGTATGTCTCATAAGCTCCAGTGTCTTTATATCATTCTAGAAAAGGTCTGGGGATTTAGCTCAGTGGCACAGTGCCTCCCTGGCAAGCATGAGGTTGTGAGTATCAATATCAATTCAACCATTCCTCAACTGTTTGATGGATATATGTTAACAGTTGACATTCAAATAATTCTATGGAGAACATCTTCATTTTTTCCTCATATTTTAAATGATTTTTCAGGACTAGATTCTCAGAAGGAGAATTATTCCATTGAGGAATATGAATACTTTTATAATCTCCAAATTGCTTTTCTTTTTAGATTGCCTGGAGTAATGCATCCAGGACCAGATTGAGATGCAGATTCGCTAGCTCAGGGTATTATTTTTTCAAAACGTCTTTCTTATTTAACTGGTACTAAAGTGCAGTTTCATTTATTGTTTAATTATATCACTCTCAATCCTACTGAAGTTTCACATTCCCATGGGTTGCTTTTTAGTTGCATTTATTCTTTCACACTCTCAAGTAGGAATTTCTTCTCCTGTTACTTATGCCTAAACCTTTCCCACTATCTTTGCAATCTTCGCTCTGCAACACATAGCTTTCTTTATAGCTGTGCCATTAAGCCACTTCCCTTGCCTCAGAGTATAAATAAGGCAACCTAATTCTGTACTACATTTGCATACGTTCTCCAGGAAGGATTTGTCTGCATGGAGCAAGAAGAGTCACTGGCACTGTTTCTTAGACATGAGTTCACAGATTGCCTTTCATACATAATCAGTTTAACTTTTATGACAGTTGAGTCCATCAAACTAAATGCGCCATATAAAGCAAGCAGTACCACGATTTAAAATTATTTATTTCATTTATTTGCACACAGGCTGTGGATTCAGATGTATGCTTGATTTCTGCTTCTGAGACCTACTAGATGTGTGACCACAGAAAAACTCCCCAGTGCCTCTGTGCCTAGACCTGCTGATCTATAAAGTGGGAGGATCAACTTCACAGATTTGTTGTGAAGATTCCATGAGCAGGGATGAAGGATCCAGCTTATGATTTTGAGAAACTGTTCTGAAATCAGCTGAGGTTGCCTGCATTAGTGGTGCCTCTCTTACACTAAACCTTCCTTCTTGCGCTGTAACCAATAAAAACAAAAGCTGCCCTTAAATAAGCATTTGTTATGTTCAGTACAGAACATCTCTTGCTAATAATATTTCATATGGACAATATTATTTGCCATTTTACAGATTATAAAACTGGGGTTCAGAGAAATTAATCGACTTGCTCAAAGTTACAGAGAAGAGAATCTATGTATTGAGTAGGGTCACAGAAGGTTTTACAATGACTATAGCAGAAATGGACTATTAGTGTAACAGGGTCTCCTTTAAAATTAGAGATGGAAAAGAGAATCCAATCATTGCCTGGCTCCAGTTTGCTCCTAGGGTTTGTTCTCTGAGTTTTTTACCAGCTTCTCTCAAATCCCTGGAACAGTGAGCCTTATAGACCCACACCTTATGATGGAACCATGTCCGCTCCCTGTAGGGAGGAGCGGTCATCTGAAGAGAGGAACTGCACTGTCCCGTTAAGTCACAATAATCCCCGCTGCCGGGCGGGGGGGGGGGGACTTGTCAGCAAGACCAGACCTGAGATAATGATCAGCTGGACCACAGTGTGCCAAATGCTCTTGAAGACACACTTCTCGGCTCTCACTTTTGTCCTTCCACTGGGAACTCTTATTAGCACCCTGAAGCCAGGGCTTAGGACACTGACCCCAAATCTAGTGAGGTAGAAGCCCCCAAGCCCTGCCTCCAGACTGGGACTGCAGCAAGTTTATCAGCTCCACCTTGATGGTAAGAAAGGAGCGTGGACAGATAAGGGAGCTTTTCCTACACCTTGCAGCCAGTAAGCAGGTGAGCTTGTTCTAGGACCCTGGCTGTTGTCTCCGGAGCAGTCTTCAACTTCCGGTTCTTCCCCACCCCATTCTCCTCCCTCTTCAACTTCCGGTTCTTCCCCACCCCATTCTCCTCCCTCCTTTCTGTGTCCCTCTCTCCATCTATGTGGTAATCTTAATGAGCAGTTTGGAGACTCTCTCAAACCTTTAAACCAAAGAAAACAGTTACTGAATTTCACCTCACAATTTTATTTGGGAGCACCTGAAGACCTGAGGAGTTTCTACTTGAGAGTTTTTGTTCTTTTGTGCCTTTGAAATATTTTGTAGGTGCACATGCCCGTTCAGGATGAGAAAACCATTATAGCTTTTAAATTTTATCCTTTCATGCATTTACAATTAGCACACACTGGATGTGAAAGTTTCTTCTTGTTCAATTGCTCTTGATCAAGCCAACCCTGTTTTCAGACTTCTAACACCAGATTCAGTAATCTATTAACCATATGGTTCTACCACTAACCTCCAGTGGGACAGGCTACCTTTGAAAGCGTTTATCCTTGACAGACAACAGCAGGGTATATTTAGATATCCATTTTACCTGTAGCTTTGTGAAGCCATGAAATTGCATCTTAAATTATAATTATTTCTCTAAGGTAATGAAGTCTTCATTTCAGAAATGCTCGATTTAACAACATACTCAAATTTGATACATTTCGTTGTACATTTTTTCTTGCACTACACAGTGCTCCATCCAAATGTGGGCTGCCTAAGCGGCAGAGAAGGACCAGCCTGGGGTGGAGTGAGCAGGAGGGAGTGTCCAGGGTGGAGACTGAGTAGGAGCAGAGAGAGTAAAGACAAAGGGCACCTTGCCAGGGTACGGCCCGCAAAAGATGAAGGCAATGAGTCATCCAAACAGAAGAGCAGAAACATGGGATAAATAATAAATAATGCCAGACCACAGAATAAAAAGCCTTCCATGAAGAGGCTGATTTACAGCATGTCCCCGTTCCCAGAACATAACCTTTTATTTTGGCCCATACGACAAACAGGCATCAAATGCCAACAGGAACGCTTGCCCTGGGAAATGTATTGCAGAGAAGTATTCCGGATCTCACATACTGAGAGCAGATAAACCATGTGACACGGAAATGGTGAACGTGGCCACCGGTTTTGTGCTGCTGCTGTGGTATGCGCCATAGCTATAGAATACAGTCAGGTGACCCCGTGAGGCCCAGGCTCGAGTGCACAGGACGCCCCAGACAGGAAAAGTGTGAAACATCCTGTCATTGCCTATCACTATATCATGCATAGAATTTCTCAAGCAAAAATGGAGGAAGACAAGATGCTCTTTTGTAGTGAACAGAAGCAAGAAAGACTGAACACGAAGCCTATGCTATGTTTGCCTTCTTGCTTTGCAATGGCAAAGTTCATCCAAAATATTTGCTGAGCACCTAGCGCAATATCAGGTTCAGTTCAAAGTGCTCGGGACAGGCGAGGACCGAAAACAAAGACCCAGGCTTTGTGGGGTACACATCCCAGAACGAGATGAAATACACCAAACACCGGGAGCAGGATAATTAAATCGAGCCAAGCAGAAGGTGTCGGTGCTATGTGGAAAAGAAAATAAAACAAGGCAAGGGGAGGAGAGGAGAGCGTTTCTATCAGTGAGGTGGGAGAATGGAGCCTGGTGCTGAAGGACTGAGCGGGATGCATTGCAAATCACGGTTGTTCAAGGTGAAGGAGAGAGGTGTCTAAGTGCACAGCTGAAAGTCGCTTTGCACCCACGCGACCCAAGCCCGAGGGGCCTCCTTAAACGTGCGTCCTCGGCGTCTTACTTGTCTTGGCCTCTGTTTCTATGCAAATGCAAGGGATCCTGTTGCTGTGCATGCCGCCCCCCACGAGGCAGATTGGCATTTCTGCTCCCCCCTGCCCCACCCGACCATCTGTCCTGCCAGTGCACGGGGTAGGGCGTCTCTGGCCCAGCTGCCCAGCATGGGCATCTGGCTCTTCCCTACAGCCCGACACCTCCCCAGCCCAACCGCGCAGGTGCAGAGAGGAAGCGGTACCACGGGTGAGAGCTGTTCTCAGCCTCTAAAACAGGCTGCAGACTCTGGACCAGGCTAAGAAGCCGGGCTCCTGGAGTGCTGGAAGCCATGAAGCTCGAAGCTTGGACGCAGCTGTGAGGAAGAAGCACTTGAGCCTCAAGTGCAAAGGAGAGTCACTCTGCGAGCGATTGAAGCAAGCTGAATGCAGAGGTCTCCAGCAAAAGATCTGCAGGAAATAAAAAGGCCTGAGACTGGGCTCCGCGCTGAGGCTCCCCAAGGAGCTCCAAGGGACAGACCCAGGGCAGAGGGCAGGGAGGTGGGCCTGACACCGTCAGTACCAGGTTGCGCCTTCGGGGTTCCCCATCAGCTCCATCTAGCGGGTCTGGGCTGTGGAGCCCATACTGTGCCGTCCCCACTTTTCTAACACAGCGGAGCCATATTAGGCTTGTGTTTTAGAAGGCTGATCCACACAGGGTTACGGTGGCCCAGGCCTGGAATCTCAGCACTCTGGGTGGCTGAGGCAGGAGGATGGCAAGTTCAAACACAGCCTAGATAATTCAGCAACTTAGCAAAATACTGTTTCAAGATAAAACGTTAAAAAGGAAGGGCTGGGGATGTAGCTCCTGGTGAAGGCCCTGGGTTCAATCCACAGGAGAGGGAGAGAGACAGAGACAGAGACAGAGACAGAGACAGAGAGAGAGAGAAAGACAGAGAGAGAGAGAAGAGAGGACCATGGCCAGAGTTGAAAGGCAGGGAGGGAGACTGTGCAAATGAAACAAAAACCTATTTATTTTTCCATTTAAGAAAAGCCAAAGAACTTCACAGTGGTCAATTTCAAGAACAGAAGCAACTTTTAAAGATTTTGATTAGAACTAAGGTCAACCTCATGGTAAACTTTGTAATTATTTAGTGGAGGATGCTACTGTTTCTCTACTACATTATAGGCTTTATTTAATCAATCTCGAAAAGTCCACAGTGGCCCTTGTCCTCATTTCCTCCCAAAGCGGTGGGACCCATCTGAGTCAGCTAAAAGAACAGATCCCCTGGAGCTTGCACATCTCTCTCTCTCTCAGCACCTGGGACACCAGATGTACCCACACAAATAGCCCCAGGCCTATGGGCTGGGCTCTTTGCAGGCAGTATGGACAGACCTAGGATGTCAGGGATTGCATCTCCACACACAGGAACGTGAGCCCCTTTATGGTACAGGGTGGAGTCCAGAGCAGAATGAGAACAGACCCATCCCCATTTGTTTCATAAGAATGTTGCTTTTCTGCCATTAACAGCTTTTAGTCCTGCTCCTAGATGAATCTTACTATGATACCAATTGTGGGATTATTTCTGCTTCAGATAGTACTTCCAGATAGTACCCACTACCACACTGCTTTCTTCAATCCACTCCCAAGTCACCTAGTCTAAATGCTGTAAGATCACCTCACAAATATTCACTGAGGTACCACAACTCCTTATCATGTGTGTTCTCCCCATTCGTGAGCGAATAAACCCAACTTTGAGTATAGGAGTGTTATTACAGGTCTTTGATTGGCATCAACATACTAAAAGCTGTATCGCAGAGTGCAGTTTTTTATAGGTGGAGCATCCCTCATCTGAAAAATCTGAAATGCAAAATGCTCTAAAGTCAGACACTTTTTGATCACCAACACACTGTTAAAAAGTTTTGGATTTTGGAACATTTTGGATTTCAAATTTTCAGATGTTCAGGTTATAGCTGTACAATTAATAAAGTCTATGCAGATACTGTAGAATCTGAGCAACTATACAATCTGAAACACTTCTATTCTCAAGCATTTTGGATAAGAGAACTCAAACCCTGCAATGATTAAATAGCATGACAGTAGTTAATATCATCATCAAGATAAAGAAAACAAAAGAGCCAGAAACACATGCAATGTTATTAATGAATTTTTCAAACAATGTGGAGTTTAAATGAGACAAAAAATTATCAGTACTATAGCATTAATCAATTTATATCAAGTTACAAAATTGGTGGAGGTACACTATTTAGGGCTGCACATAAATATATATTTATCTGAGATTCCCAAAGTAGAGATCATTGTGATTTTAAATGAGTGATCACCTCAGAGGACAAGGATGTCATTCTGATAGGAGTGAGTACATGAGATGCCAGTAATTTCTAGTTCTTGTTTTAAGTGTTGTTATTCTTTAAAATCACTAGTTAAACTGACAGATAAGTTGTATGTGTTCTTTGTTGTGCATATTTCAAAATAAGATGCGAGAAACCAAAAATAAGAATGCTAAGTAGGACAAAACAAATAAATCGATATCTCCTTTCATAGGACAGTTTGCTTAGAACATGGTTAACATGCATTCATTTACCTGATGCCAATTACTCAAGGACAGACTGCTAAATTTCAGCCTCTGAAACTTCAAAGATGATTAATAAATGAAAGATTTAATTGCAACCGCTAAGACATTCTCTTTTAGGAGGCTTTACCCAAAAGGGGTCAGGTCTACCCAACTCCCTTTCTTAGCAACATTCTTTCACTCTACCTTGAAGGAAATTTCAGTTGTCATGGTGAACCCGTGGGTGATGACAGGCTCTTCTTCTGCAGTCCTTCCTTTCCAGCAGTCCAGCTCCACACAGCGACACCCAGACAGAAGCACTTGGCGATACATCTCAACGGAAGAGTTTCCAGCCAGCTGGCCAGCTACAAAACACCAACAAAGCAAACCCCAGAATCCCATGAGTCTAGCAAGGTAGTAAGTTCTGGCTTCCTCTAAAGGCTCTTCAATGATGGGAAGACAGTGTTTAATTCTGGAGCAGTTATGCTACCTGTTCTTCTCCCTCAACATACCAGAGGATAGGGATCAAGACCAGATGGAAGCATGATTCCCTACCACTGGCTGAGGGAAGAGAGAATAGAGGGAGGAGGGCACTGTAATAGTGACAGCGGCACACATTTAGGACCTGTTCACCATGTGCTGATTGCGGGTTTTAGATATTACCTATACTAAACATTTAATTTTTTTAAAAAATTACTGATTGCAAAATGCACTACAGATAATTAAAATGGCACAAAGCAATGCAGTTACCCAAATTTCAAAAGCTAGGAAGTGACAAATGCAGAATTTTGTTTGTGCAGCATGATTTAATAATGCTAAGAATGTGCTAGTTCCCAAATTATTCTACAGATTCAGTTCATATCAAAATCCCATCTGGTTTTTACTATTTTTGACAGATATTGACTAGTTGGTCCAAAATTTCATATGTAAAAATACAAAAATATTAACAAATGTAACTTACCAAAATAATCTTAAAAGATAGAAACAAATTTGGAACAATCACATTTCCCAATTTTAAAATTTACTACAAAGCTATAGTAATTAAGGCAGTATGGTATTGGCACAAGAGTACACATCACATATAGAGTAATGTACTAGAAATGAAAATCCAGAAATAATCTTTAATTTATGGCCAACTGATTTTCAAGAATACCGCCAAGACAGCCCTATGCAGAAAGAAGTCCTTTCAATAAATTGGCTTGGGACAAGTGGACAATCACATGTAAAAGAATGAAACTGGATCCTTGTTTCAAACCATATATGGCAAATTAACTCCTAATGGATCAAGTTCCTAAATATGAGAGTTAAAATAAATCTTTTAGGAGAAAACGTAGGGGTGAATCTTTGTGACTCGGCTAAGGCTACAATTTTGTGGATATAATACCAATAGCAAAGCAACAAAAGGAAAAATAAATAGACATCTGATTCACAAACTTTTATGAACAGAACTGAAATACTCTAGTGAAGTGGTGAGAATGATAAGAATCAAGAGACTGAGGCAGGAATACACAGGACGTGGAGCCAAACTAATTCTCTCTCACTGAAGGAATCAATGAGAGCCACTGATTCTTGATCAATTATTTTTGAAAGATTAATACTTAACATTTTTTTAAACAAACCCATTATCAAACATACAGATTGAAGTCTTTTGTTTTCCATTGTTAAAGAGTTTCTTTGACTTATACTTTATAAGCATCCAGTATTTTTTTTAAATAGCCAGTTAAAAGATGGCAGCTTGGTGACAACTGTCAACATGACTTTGAAAAGGACATGATCTGCCCTGTGGAGGCATAGGAGACACAGGAGAAGGGACATTTTTAGATGCCTGTCCTAGCACCTAACCATCAGCATCACAAAAGAATGACATTCTGGAGTTCTATAGAGCCCTGAGTGAGTAGGTTTGCATAATCACTCTTCTCTATTGAAAAAAATATAGGGCACTTTAAACACATAAATGTATTTGCAAAAACAGAAATGCTGACAACACAACCTAGAAATGTTTGATGCTGGATAGTCAACTTTCCATTTATAATTACCTTAAAGTTTATTGTCATTGCAAAAATTTTCAAATGTCCTTGCTGCATAAAGGGTAAGGAAGCAGTGAGCATGAAGGGAAAAGATACATATTTCTGTTATTCCTAAAATTCAAAAAAGATTACTTTAAGGAAAGAGACTGAAGAATTTAATAGTTATCAGGTTAACTCCTTTAAAAATGTTTGCTCCCAAGAAAATTGCACTCATAGTACAGAATAATGTGTGCATGTGTGCCTGTGTGTGTATGTGTGTGTGTGTGCATGTGCATGCATGCTCACGTATACTGTTCAGGGAATTGTTTAAAGTGTATTACTGACTGCTTTCAACGTCATTATATATGGTGCAATTTCTGAGTCTATCTCATAAATGCTTTATTGAGTGTTACTGTCTTTGGCAGGGATGGCACTGTGGATTTAGAAATAATGTTATTTTCAATTTCTCCATCAGAGATAATGACAGAGCAAAGTCAATAAATACTTAACCAACACAAGAGTGTTCTGTTACAAAGGTCCAAAAAGTGCTAGACACATTTCTTTGGATTTGTGTGCAAATTTTTCTTTTATTATTCCAACAATGATTAGAAGGAATTTTTAAGTGTTGATCAATAAATGTTTTGAAAAATGAAAGGTGTGGTAAACTATGGGTTGGGTTTGTAAGATACAGAAGAATCTGAAAAGATATAAGAGGCAGAGAGAGAGAGACAGAGAGAGAGAGAAGGGGAGAGAGCGAATGATTACTCAACACCTATGACAATCAGAATCTCCAAGGTAAATTTGGTAAATTTATTGCTCATTCTTAAAATGAATAATACTTATTAGAAACAAAGTCTCCCAGAGAAAGCATGTTTATTAATAATTTTCGTATTCCTTGGAATGCATATTAGGTTTCCTGTATATTTTATTTTGTTTATAGATTTTTTCAAACAGATAATATTCTCCTTTATAGATTTTTTCAAACAGATAATATTCTCCTTTATTCTCTCATTTTCTGCCTAAAGTCTCAAAGTTGGTTTATTTTTCTTCCCCCCAAAATTTAACTTGTCTTTATTACATCCCATCCACCCACTATATTTCCATTTGATTTGATCCAATAAATATAGCCTCTGGGGCAGTGATTGCCAGGGGTTGGGACAGTTGATGTGTCATGAGTCATTCAACCCTTGGTGTTTGTGAAACTAGCATTTGACATCATCTGTGCCTGGCCATCAACACCCTGTGGAACACATTCCAAGCCCATGATTGAACTTCGAGCTGGAGCTCCCTCTCAGATTAATTCATAATACTGCCTCAAGTCACAGCTGTGTAACTTCACACTTCACTGCATGCATTTTGGGTGGCTGGTGACATTCATTTGAGCTTTGTCTCAGATTACCCAAGGCATCCAGAGTGAGAAAAGCCCAGAAAATTGAAAATAACAATTCCTCTATTAACACAGCTTCCTGAGAAATTTTTCATCTTGCAAAGGCTGATGAATAATTGCCTAATTTTTAAGTTTATCATTATTGGTCCCGTCCACCTCCAGGGTAAGAAGGTTCCAGAACAGAATCCCTTGTTAATAGCCTCTTCAATAAACATTTGCTGCTTCAATAAATGGAGACAGGGACGATTTCCCCTTGCTTTTCCTGTGACAGCCATTCAGATCATTGCACAGCTACACCAATGGGAACATTTCCAAATACAGAGAATGTGTTGTTGATCTTCACCAGCCAGGTACCAGTTTGACTTAACCTCTGTCATCTATATTATCTCCTGCCACCTGCTGAATCATAACGCTTGTGTGAAGACAAATCCAAATATCACATGAAGGCTGATCTAAGGAAGCGTGGAAGAGCCTGAAGTCATCCCACTCTTGGGATAACAATGTGAATCATATGGCTTACTTACAGGGAGCACCACCACTGGTATCTTACACATTCTCAAACACTGTGGGAATACTGCCCTCTGTGACAGCAAAATACTGATTTCTGGACACAAAAATGAGAAATATTCCTTACCTTACCACCTAGGAAGGGAAACAATAATAAATAAAAAAGAAAGTACCCATTTAGTAAGGAATTTAAACTCTGATTCCAAAGTTATACTTCTGGTTATTCTTTTTCTCTCTTCCCTTTGCCAGTAGAACATTACATTAGATTCTGATATGGTCCAGAGTCCCTTCTTCATCCTGCAGGAAATCTAGAATCTTCTCAGGCACCCATGGCAGCTCTATGGCTCACAGTGGTGATTATTAGAGTCATTGCTGTGTGGTGTAACTCTGGACCACACAGAAGGGGATAACACAGTCTCCTGGGTGGAGATAGAAGAGAGATGTTGAGAAATCGCTAGGGACATTTTCCTTCCTCCTCAGGCTACAAGAAAGGGATGTTTCAGGCCTCATATGTGGATCTTGATTCACAGAGGGACAATGACTGGGTGTAGAGTCATCTTGATACCACACCAGATCAAGAAGCTAGAAAACACCAATGCTGTCTGATGACATTAAGAGGTCATGATCTCACCACCCTCAACCTTTCTCCTATGTTCACCTTATTGTGTGAGCTAATAAATTCCTTCATCTTTAAGTAATGTTCTCATATTGCTTTCAGCCATGTGGACTCTGGTTGTTTTCATTTATCTTTAGTTTATAAAGAAACCAAGACTCAGAAGAGGTAAGAGTTTAAATTAGTTAAATGTAAATTTAAACTAAACCTCTTTATTTCCTAAGCGTATCTTCTTTCCATTCTGCCACCCAATTTTCTTAGGGCTATGTAGATGTCACATAAAAATACCTGATAAAAGGTTGCATATGCTAAGAGTTAGTACATGGGAGACATCAAAGAAGGGAGAGATGCAGTATTAGTGATAGAGAGTGATTGACAAGGGTACAGGTAGGCCCAAGTCATTTTTAGACCTTTACTGCAGCCAGGAACATGGACATGAAGAGAGGATTTGAATAATAATTTGAGACATTCCTCCAGATAATTTAATTCATTAGACCCCCAGGGATAAGTAAACTCTCAAACCTAGCAGTTTTTCCTAAGCTGAAGAAAGATTTTAATTATGCAGAGAAATACCACTTTTCTTTGCTTTTATATGGAGCACAAACTACTGCCTCTCCAGTGGTTTGGAGCATGGGAAAGTTTATGAAATGTTGCTAAGTTGTAGGTTGAAATGATTGCATAGTGCTGTGCCCTCGGAGGCTTTGTTTTTCTGAAGTCATCATGGTGGATTCCTCAAGAAAAACAATAATTTAAAACATAATCACTGCTGGGTACACTGCCAATACCATCCAAAACTCTTGAAAGTGCCCCCTGTAATTAAAATCCAACTCATTCAGTACATATATTTCTCTC